GCGGCGGGGCGGAACGGCCGGGCCAGGTAGGCGCGCGGCGGCCGGGCAGAAGTGGGCCCGGCGCGGGGTGGGCGGAGGGGTGGTGGTGGCAGCGCCCCAGAGTGCGGGGTCGGGGTGGGCGTGCCCCGAGTGCTGGGGGGCGGCCTGGAGCATCCCAGGGCGCGGGCGGAGACGCGAGGGGGGCGCGGGCCTGGGCGGCTTGCGGACCGGAACAGGCCCGACTCGCAGGCCCCGCGCCCGCCCGCACCTGCCCGGGCACCTGCGCCCTCAGCGCGGGAGCCGGGCCCGGGACTGACGCGTTCAGCCCGCGCCGGCCCCGCGCTCCGCACCTTCCCCGCGCGCCGCGGCCGGCGCGATCGAGGTGCGGGCAGGTGAGCGCGCGCCCCTCCGGCCCGCGCTGTGGGCCCTGCAGACGCGGGCCAGCAGCTGCCCGGGCGTTAGCCGCGGGCCCCGGGACTGCAGAGCGCCCCGCCCGGCTCTCCCGACAGCCCCGCGGCGCGCAGTGACCAGTGGGAATTTCTGCCTGGCAGATCCTGAGTCTGGGAGCCCTGGGGAGCGTGCACGGCTGGGTGCTGGAGGGCCCTGGGGCCCCCGGATGGGGGCAGGCCTGCCGGTCTCAGGTGGACCCTGAGACCCTGGCCTGCCTTCGGAGGCTGGCACCCCGCCCAGCCCTTCTCCCTGCCCGATCTCCTGGCATTCCCTCCGTCCTGGCAGCCTTGGAGGATTTTCTGACTCACTGAGTGCATCTCCCACCCAGAACCCCTGGATCCTGTTCCTTGGCTCTGTAGCCCGGAACAAAACAAAACAAAAGCACAGCGGCCCGCCCTCCGACGCACCTCAGCGAGCAGGTGACCGCTGAGGGTGGCAGAAGGGGCCAGGCTTGTCCCTACTCCTGTTCGACCTGGCTGAGGGCAGAGGACCACCCCAGACTGGGGGGGGATTCTGCCCTCCCCGCCCCCCCCCAACTACTGTTGGGCAGAAGAGCAGTGAACTTCCTAGTGCAGGGTACTGTGGTCCCTCTGCCATGAAACCAGCCACACTCCTATTGACAACCTGGTGGACACTGGGTTGTCTCCAGATTTCAACACCAGCCACATATTTTTTTTTGGGGGGGGTGTTTCCTGGCAGAATGGAGACAGGAAGGAAGAGTGGCACCTCCCTGCCGCTCTGCCCTGGGGGTTGGGGTGCTGGGTGGTGAGAAAGACCCCCCTCCAAACATCTCAGCCCTCATGTGGCTTTTTCTCTCTCATCATTCTAGGACATTCTGACAGCTCTTCCCCATTAAGAGCTTGCCCCCTCCCCCACCCATCTTTTCTAACTTGATTAAAACCCTCTCTGGATGGGGAGGCTGTGGCCAGGCTGCGTCTGGTCCCATAATGAGATTAGATCCTGGTGGCCTTTTCACTAACTCCTCTGCCCCGCGGGCCTTTGTGTGCCTGTGTGATTGCATTAAGTGGACCGACTGCAGGTGTGTGTGTGTGGGGGGGGGGTGGAGGGGGCAGAGGTGCCTACCCAGCCCTGTACTCTGATGGGGGAGGGAGGGTGCCCCTTCCCACTACTGAGGAGGGGAATACTCTTGGGGGTGGTGCCCCGGACCTGGCAGGGTATTTTCAGGGTGCCTGAGAACAGCCAGCACTGACCGGGGTGGATGGGGGTGCCCATGATGACCAGCCTGGGAAGCGAGGGAGCAGGAGTCCAAGCATTGGTCAGCAGAGAGGGTGGGAATCACATGGGGGTCCTTGGCAGCCCACGCCCCAGCAGCCCCTCCACACAGGTGTGGATTGTAGAGGAGGTTGGACCGGATGGGCTGGGAGAAGAACGGGTGCCGAAGGGTCAGACTCTCCCTGCAGATTCACGCTTTGGACTTTGGGGCCTGGAGGGCAACTGAGGGCAGTGCCAAGGCCTGCCCTGCAGAAGGGGACTCTAGGGACACCTTAGGTCTCCTGAATGCGGGATCCTCTGTCCTTTCAGTCTCTGGCTTCCTATTGGGAAGGGCCGGGTCCTGCCCTCAGGATGCCACGGGACATGGCCCCAAAGTTCTTGTGCCCCAGGCTCCTGGTGCAGGGCCACATCCTGTCCCCCATTGTCTAGGAACAGCCCCAGGGGGACACTGATGACCCTCCATTTGCCATCAGTGGGCGGCAGTGGGGGCTTTGTGGGAGCAGCTACACCCCAGTGAAGGGGCTAGAACCAGCAGTGGCCTGCGGTGGAAAGCTGGGGGGTCTAACCGGGCCTGGGTTCTTACTCTGCTCTGCTGCTGGCGAGCTGAATGGCTGCGGCCTCTGTGTGTTCATGTGTCCTCCTGTCTGTCCATCTATCTGTCTGTCCATCCCACTGCATGCCTGGTGGACACAGGAGTTGACAGCTGTTTGCCGCTGCTGATGTGGGCCGCGGTTTCCCCTCTGAGCTCCAGTTTCCTTCTGGGTCCCAGTGGGGCACCTCCTGTCTGGTCCCAGTGTCAGTGCAGAAAGGAGAGATTTCGGGAAGTGGGGGCGATTGCGTGGGGCTCCCTGGCTGAGCCCCGGTCCTGCCTCAGGCCTTGCCTCTGCTCACCGCTCACTGCTCTGTGTGTGTGTGTGTGTGTGTGTGTGTGTGTGTTGAGGGCGGGTCCAGCGGCCCAGTGCTCACTTCCCAGAAATGTTCTGGGCTTACGGGCCGCTGCCGCATGAGGCCTCTCTTGCCGAGTGCACTTTCCTCCCCACCCACCAGCTCTAATCTAAGGAAGAGTTTGGGGTACGGGGGGGATGGCCTAGGAGCTGGAGCCCGGGCACTGCATGCTCAGCTCCAAGCCACACCCCCCAAAACAAAACAGAACAATAAAATATATCTCAGGAGCAAGAGACGGGACAGTCCCCAGGGAAGCAGTACCAGCCCTCAAAGCTTTTAGTGCCAGTCCCCGTGGGCCTTGTGGTGATTCTCAAGCTGCTTCCTGGCCTCTCTCTTGGCGCAAGGCGCAGTGCTCCATGGCATGGTGGTTCCCCAACACGGAACCCCCTCTGCATCCCTGTTCACTCACGGGCTCCAGAGGCCTTTTGAGAATCTAAGAGGAATCGTGCTGTCCACACCGTGGAGTCTGAGGGCTTCGCTTCCCTTAGGGAGTTTCCCAGGTTCTGGGAAGAGGGGAGGGATGTGGCATGTTGGGAGGAGCCTGGGGTGTGTCTGCCTTAGGTTTCCCTGATGCTGAGCTGGTTTCCAGAGACATCCATCAATCTAGGTGTCTTCATTGCAGAGGGTGGGTGGGGTCTCCGCATACCCACAGTGCTCAGGAGCAGTTTGGGGGCTATTTCTGCTGGCTCCAGGGATGGAGCCTGGGCCCCATGCAAGGCGGGAGCTCAGCCATTTGCTCTCTTTCTGGCACGTTGCTCTATGGGCCTCTGCCCACAGTACCCCCTTGCCACGTGACCTATGCTGGGCGAGGCCCAAGCTGGACCTCCCAGAAAGCATCAGGTCCTATGGGGGACACCTGTTCCCCCAGTGTGAACCCGGCCTCTCTGCCAGTCCCGCTGGCCAAGGGGCTGGGAGGAGGAGCCGAGTGGGAGGACAGTCCCCGCCACAGCCCCATCCCCATGCTGTCCCTGACGGTCCCCAGACCCGTGGCCACGTGACCTCCCTCCGTGCTTCTGATGAGCTAATCAGATTCTGCTCTTGCCGCAGGCTCCCCAGGAAGGAATCTAATCAGGGGGCGGCCAGGCCCTAGCGAGAACAGCGCTCAGAGCTTTGTTACCTGGCAGAGTCGGGGGCAGCAGCAAGGGATTAGATCCCCACGGCAGGCACAAAGATCAGAAGGCTCCCTGCCTCTGGAGGCCGCAGGTGGAGGTGCACACACGGGGGTGAGTGGGCTCCGGCCTGGGAGACGCAGGGGAGGGACGTCTCGGTCCCAGAGCAGGTAGGGAGTGGGTGTCCCGGGAGCCACATGATAGGGGTGGGGAGGGCGCGTAGGGCAGTGACAGCAGGCGGCGTGGGCGTCTCCCCAGGGAGGGTGCTGTCCCTGTCAGGAGTCACTCAGGAGGCTGAAGAGGACAGAAGGGGGACGCAGCAAAAAGGTAGCCGGGGCTCAGGGGCGGTGGCAGCCATGTGTGCAGAGTGTACGGGGCTTGGAGCGTGTCCAGGGAGGATCATGGGCGGTGGGGTTTGAACGTTGGTGCCCACAGAGAAGTGACAGAGGGGTGAGTGGCAAGAAGTGCGGCTTCTGGAAGCTTCCTGCCTGCCGTGGGGGTGTTTCTGGCTCAGACCTGCCGGTGTGAGGTCCGTGGGTTCTGTCCCTGGAACTGCAGAACAAAACCAAAGGGCAGGCCATGAGGAGGAGGTGCCGGTTGGTGCCCTGGGCAGAGGGCTGTCACTGAGAGCAGGCCAGAGGCGGGGCACTGGCCTGTGACTGCTTTTTTTCTTTGTATCTGCGGCACGTTGATTCCTCACTCCCTGATTTACAGTGTGGGGCCAGCAGTCAGAGGTGCTGGAGATGGGGCGGGCAGCCCCTTGGAAACTGATCAGTGACTGATGGGGGAAGGGGTGCGGTGCTCTCCCTGGGGTGGGGGTGTGCGCTGCATCAGGAGAACCAGCACATTTCAGGGACTGGTGTGCCCCTGCCTCCTCAGTGCCTCTTTTCTCCATTTTGGGTCGTGGGTGCTTCTCTTGGGGGGACATGGGGGCCCCTCACCCCGGAGTCTCAGCAGATGCCTGCAGGGCAAGAGGGTTGGGAGGTCTGGTCCTGTCAGGCACTGCAGGGTGATGAGGGGGGGCACTCACCATTGTGGCCCCCTCCCCTACTCGTCTCTGCTTCCAGTTTAGAACCAGGGGGTTCTACGTGGCAGCCCCCCACTTCTCCCCCACTGTCCTCTATGGCCTGCCTGGAGGCCCAGCTCAGGGAGTCCCCCAGAAGATTCAGGGGCCTGGGCACCCCTGCCCCGGTGCACAGCCTGTGCCCACTCCTGGGCACTGGCCCTGAGTAGGGGTTGTCCCTTTGGGGTGCTCACTGAGCCCCGTATCTCTGTCTCCCACAGCATGGAGAGCCAAACCAGCATGGCCCCTGTCCCTGGAGCGCTGCCCTACTTCGTGGCCTTCTCCCAGCTGCTGGGCCTGACCGTGGTGGCCACCACCGGTGCCTGGCTGGGCCTGTACCGCGGTGGCATCGCCTGGGCGAGTTCCCTGCAGTTCAATGTGCACCCACTCTGCATGGTCATTGGGCTGGTGTTCCTGCAGGGTGACGGTGAGGCGATGTGCAGGGACTTCCACACTTAGACAGAAGGAAGCTAATCAAGGGCATAGGGACAGGCCATGTAGCCAGGGGCTCTGCAGTGGCCTCCAGCTTCCCAGCTCTTGCTCCTAAGGGTGGAGCGCCATTGAGACTGGCTCCAGGCAGTGCTTTGAATTGGTGTGAATGTGAGTGTGTGTGTGTGTGTGTGTGTGAGAGAGAGAGAGAGAGTTGGGTGTGCATGTGTGAGCATGAGTGCGTGTAATGTGTGTGCGAGTGTTGAACATTGTATGCATGAGTATGTGCACGTGTGAGCAGATGTGAGCATGAGTGTTTGCATTAGTGCATGTGTGTGAAAGTGTGTGTAAGTGTAAGCATGTGTGTATTATGTGTGCAAGTGTATGTGAAAATGTCTGAGTATATGTGTCTCTGAGTGTGTGAGCATGTGTGTGAGTGCACAAGTGTGTAAGTAGGTGAGCCAGTGTGTGTGTGTAGGAATGTGTGTAAATGTGTGTGCAGTAGGGGGCATAGGGTCGGCAGCCCTGGGCCCCTTTCTCTGGGCTGCCTGGAGGTGGTCCTGCCTCCCTGTAGGGAGCAGAATCTTTCAACAGCCCCCCCGCCCAGCCCCACAGGCTGGTGGGGGATTAGCTTGGCATGAGGTTCTGCCGTGAGATCTGGGGCCTTTCCATCCAGGGAGACTGCTCCACAAAGCTGGACTACCTGACAGACTGCCCAGGCGCTTCAGGGCCCTGTGCAGTGAGCCTGGAGTAGACCGGGGCTCCTGCCAATGGTGGGCTGTGTGTTGGGCGGGGGGGGGGGGGCGGCCCTGGGGAGGCCGCCCATCTCCCAGGCCAGCCCCTGTGACCTCCCACGGGAACTTGCCTTTTCTGTGTTGGTGCCTTCCCCTTGCCATCTCTGCAGCTGGGGCCCGAGAGGGAGGCTGGGGTTCACTGGTGCCCCACTTCTCCACCTCTCTCAGCCCTGCTGGTGTACCGGGTCTTCAGGAACGAGACCAAACGCACAACCAAGGTTCTGCATGGGCTGCTGCACGTCTTAGCCTTTGTCATCGCCCTGGTGGGTGAGTTCCTGGCTTGGCCCCTTCCCCACCCTGTCCACTGATGACACTCTGGGCAGCCCCACCACTTGTCCCCTCCAGGGCATCCCAGGCAGGGTCCCCAGCCCCTCCCACTTGTGCTCACAGACCCCTGTCTGGGCTAGGCCTGGTGGCAGTGTTTGATTACCACCGGAAGAAGGGCTACCCCGACCTGTACAGCCTGCACAGCTGGTGTGGCCTCCTCGTCTTCGTGCTCTACTTTGTGCAGGTGAGTCCCCTCAGCTGCTGACAGGATCCCTGAACGCCCAAAGGTGGGGCATCACCGTGCTGAGGTCTGGAGGATGCACGGGGCGTCCTGGACGCCCCATGGGCTGTGACTTGGCCTTCAGGGCCCGCTCATGCTGCCAGGCCTCCAGTGAAGGAACCCTGGGAAGCCCAGTGCCACTGCCTGCTTTCCCCCCCTAGTGGCTCGTGGGCTTTAGCTTCTTCCTGTTCCCCGGAGCCTCCTTCTCACTGCGGAGTCGCTACCGGTCTCAGCACATCTTCTTTGGGGCCACCATCTTCCTGCTCACGGTGGGCACTGCCCTGCTGGGCCTGAAGGAGGCGCTGCTGTTCAAGCTGGGGTGAGTGTCCCTGGCTGCCAGGTCCTGGGGGCTGGCCTCTCCATGTGCACTTGCCTTCTGAGGCTCTCAGCAAAAGTGCACAAGTGCATGTGGCATTGGGCCCGGGGCTGATGGTGGATCTGTGCCCTCCCCCCTAACCCTGCAGGACCAAGTATAGCACCTTCGAGCCTGAGGGCGTCCTGGGCAACGTGCTGGGCCTGCTGCTGGTGGCCTTCGGCCTGGCCGTGCTCTACGCCCTGACGCGCAATGACTGGAGACGGCCAGCCCAGGAGGAGGAGCGGGCTCTGTCCATGGACTTCAAGACACTGACGGAGGGCGACAGCCCCAGCTCCTCCCAGTGAGGCGCCCCCGCCCCCATCACACAGGGGCTGCACTCACCAAGGCGCCCTCTCCCCCTGCCCCCCTCCTACCCTTGTAGGCCCGTCTGTGTCTCTGTCACCCCTGAGGTGGAACAATCGTGGGTGGGAGTTTGGTGGTGGGTGCTGGTGGTCCCTGAAGGAGAGGAGAGGCCTGGACTGGGCTTGGGGCTGCTGGGGGGTGGGGGGTGGGGAGGCGGGGAGCCGTGCACAGTCTCCTGCAACCCCAAGTCCAGACAGGAGGCTGCCGGCCTCCGGTTGGGTCACACAGGTCCTTGGCAGCTCAGCAAGTGATATGATGTGTCAAGTATGTGGGCTTGGAGCAGGGTCCCTGGAGAGGGGCGGGCCTGGCCTGTAGCCCTGCATGTGGTGTCCCCCTCCTGTTTTCGCCTCACTGTGGGAGTCTCAGGATTGCAGCAGACCCGCCCTTGGACGCTGAGAAGATGGAGCCAGCCAGGGCGAGGCTGCTCTGGGCTCGGGAATACCTTGTGCCCCCTCACAAGGCCCCATCTCTCACTGCCTGCACCGCTCTTGCTGTGGCAGGCAGCCTGGACCCCACTGTCCCCCAGACAAGCCGGTTCTCAGCCTCAGCCGGGCAGGCTCCCCCACACTGAGGGCTCAAGCCTTTTCCCTCCTGAAACAAAAGCTGCCTCTGTGGTTTCCCTTTTGCCTGCCTCTCTCCCTCCCCAACCTGGAAGTCCCCACCTCCTGCCCCCATGCAGAAAGTCAGGCAGATCGACCCTCACCCCAGAGTGCTGTTAGCTGAATTGCTCTTGGCTTCAGTCTAGAGATAACCTGATTAGAGCATTGATCTTGTGCTTCTGGGACTTGGCAAATGTTCTCTCTCTGCTTTCCTTATTTTCTGGGCTTGGGGGAGCAGGACAGTTTTGAGACAGACCCAGTTTTGCTTAATGAAGCAATTAATCACATTCCCCAATCTGGTTACTACTCCTTCAGGTCTGCCCTTCCTCATCCAAATGCTGCCGTAGAGAAAGGAGCTGGTCTCCTGCGCCGGCCTGCGCCTCTGCGGTGGGTCTAGCAGGGTGCTGCTGCCCCAGGCAGCGGGCAGGCGGGGTGTGCAGGCAGTGCAGGCCATTGGCTCCACCCTTCCCTTTACCCAGCACCCACTGGAATCATCTGATGTTTACATGCGGGAACTCCACCTTGGACAAACTTCCAGAGTACGATGTGCATTGTGCCAGGGCTAGAAGCTGGTCTCTTTGCTGGTGTGAGGCCTGGAAGGCTGATGCGTATTTATTTTATTCTCCTGTGGCCACTCCTCTGTGCAATGTGTTGTTGGTGCAAATGATGATTCAATAAATATCTGCAGCAGAGCTCTGGCGTGTTATCTCTGTTACTGTGGCAACCCAGAGCCCGCTGAGCTGATTCCTGCCACTGGTTCTGCAGCAGTGGGAGGTGAGGAGCTGACACGCCACGGTAAAGAAAGCAAGAGACCTTCCATGGCCCAGGCGGACTGGCTCCCACTGGGGTGGGGAGTGAGAGAGGGGGAAAGCACTTTCACTAGGTCAGGGGAAGAATTTGGGGCAGGGAAAGAACTTTTCTCCACCCAGAGGAGGCCTGGCGGATGGAGCAGAAGGCAACTGATAAAGGGACCCTCACCCAATCAGCTTTTCATTTAAATGACTTTTGGTTTTGGGGCCACTGCCCACCATGCTGGGGGCTGCTTCTGGCTTGGTACAAAGTGTGCACCCCAGCTTTCTGATCCATCTCCCCAGCTGCCACCACTTCCAGGTTTTTTTTTGGGGGGGGTAGGGGCACACTTGGCAGTGCTCAGGGCTGACTCCGGAGGTGGGCGCCGACTTTCTTTCCATCTCAGGTGATTTGTGAGGCCTTGGCAGGTGGGATGTGCTTATAGTGGAACTGGGCGGAGGGGCTCCTCCAGAATGCCCGGTGCAACTGAACAAGTTGGTGAGGAGACTCCCAGGGCCCGACAGACCCCTCTGCTCAGGCCTAGGCTTCGTGGAGTGGCCTTGCACCGGAGCCCCCTTGCGCCTCTCCCGCACCTGCGTCTTCCTTCTGGTCAAGGCCTCTGTGGCCTTCATCTAGCATTTGTGCCTCTGTTTGCTGACCAGTGGGCAGGTATCCCGGCTCTCCTGCTGGGTGCTCACACTTCCCACTTGGGTGCCAGCCGTCTGGACCTGTCTGTGGACGGTCAGTGACTGGACTCAAATCCCCGCCCCACTCCAGGGCCACTCCTTCACTTCCCTGGGAGGCCCTCACATCCCTCCCAGGTTATTCCTCTTGACCCTGGCTTAGAGGAATTTCCTCAAGGGAGCAGAGAAGGTACTTCCGGCCCACCGTGGCAGTGCTGGTGTTCTGGGATGGCTGGAATTTCCAGGGTTCCCCTGTGAGGAAGGAAGGGGACATCAATGTGGCCAGACACTGAACTCCATGACCTGGAGCTACTGAAACAGGATCTGCTTCTCATCTGTGTCTCTTGCTGGGGAAGATGGAAGCTGCATTGTGCTCCCCCCTGCACCCAGAGATCTCTCAGGAGTGGCCCGTGCCCAAGACTCTTCCCAGGGCTCTGGGGCACAACTGAACACACCTGGGAGGGAGAGTCTGTGTCCACCTTCTCCAAGCTCCTGCAGCTCCTAGCTTTAAAGCGGATGGAGAAGCCACAGGGCTCCCTGTTGGCCTGCGATGCTCTGAGAGGTGCTAAGTGTCCGGAGGAGCCAACTGCGACCCAGGGCTGAGCAGCCGCAGACCTTTGCTGAGTTTGTCTCTGCTTGGAGCAGCTTAAGAAGTTGGGGATGAGACAGAGACAAGTTTGGGGGCCAGAGAAAGTGTCCAGTGGGGAGTAGCACATGGTCTGCAAGCAGAAGGCAATTTTGGTTCTTGACATTTCCTGGTCCCCGAGCACCATGAGAGCAGACCCTGAGCGCCACTGGGTGTGACCGCAAACCCAGTGTGACGGTTTGCGGTTTCCTGCCTTTCCCAAGGCTTCAGGAATCTTAGAAAAGCTGTGCCTTGAGGTTGCGTTTTGCCACTTACCTCTTTTTGACTTTTAATGCAGCACCCAGAGCCCCAGGTCCTGAGTTGTTCCCTCTTCTCTGAAGGTGCTTCTGGAATCTGGGCTGCTCTGCAGCTGCTGGCGTTGGTGGTCTGGGATGGATGCAGAGAACAGCAGGGACTTTCTCTGCAGTGGCCTCCTTCCTCCCTCATGCCTGTGCCTCTGTGGCCTGGCAGGAAGGGCTGTAGGTGCTGGTGGCATTCGGGCTCCCAACAGCTTTGGGGAAACCAAGAGCTCTGTGGCAGCTGCTGCCAGCTCTCTGGGGAGCCAGGGGGAAAGGTCCCAGCTTCTGGCTCTGGCTGAGCATGTCCCCTACCTGCACTGCCTCCCGTCTGCTCAGCCTTGGGCTTGGCACAGAACCTGGGTGGGGTGTACCTTCTGCTGTTACCGTGGAACTGGCTGCTGGCCTTCCCCAGTCAGCCCTGAAGAGGCTCATCTTGCTAACAGGGCTGAACTGCCCTGAGTCCAGCTGCATGGAGGGGCGCTGTGCCCTCTCTCCCACGGGGGACTCAGTGCTCCCCTGCCCCCAGCTACTAAGTCACCTGAATTAAGCCTTCCCTGGAACCTGGCCCTAAGGCCCAGCTCCTGGGGAAGGAGCTGATACTGAAGGAGAGAGCACAAGGCCACGTTTTTCCAAGTGTTACCCATTTATAAATAAGTACATTTGCTTTCATACATACAGTTCATTGTACAGATGGTGATCTGTATACATGGGCAGGAAAATGCATTCATTTAACTGTTCACATCTATCTCACACAGCTCACATGTACAGACAATAAAACTGCTCAAGCAAGTACAGCGAAGGTAAATGTCTTTTCCTTATACACAGAGGCTAGATGCCTCTGCTGAGTGTGGGCCATCCCCACCGCACGAGTTCACAACTGTGTGGTGTTCAATATATCAGGAGAGAGAACAAACATGCATTGGAGAATATACTGTACAGAGAGAGAGAGTCCTTTACATCTGAGTATAGAAAACCTAAAGGAAAACTAAGTGCATTAAAGCTTTTTCCAGCAAGTGTCTTGAAAGGACAGCAAAGAGGAGGAAGAATCAAAATCATATTAGTACAAATCACTCTTTAATTGTGGACTGTACATGTCTGTACTAATTAAAATCATCTTGGATTTGGAGGAGACAGGACAGAGACAGATGCAGGGTGGGATGGAAAGGTGGCCCGGCCCGAGGACGGCACCTGCAGGGCCTGGCCAGGAACCTGCCCCTTGTGGCAGGAAGCAGCCAAAGGGAAAACCTGAACCGAAAACAAACCCGAACAGGATGTGGAACTTATGGGAACGCTGAGAGAACGTGGGAGTGAAGTTGGATCTGGACCAGCGCTTCTCTTTCCAGTAAGTTGGTATGCAATAAGGCAGGTACATTCAAGTACTGAATTTTCCAGAACTCTGTCTGGTCCCAGGGACCAAAAGGATCGAGCTTAGTCCCTCTAACTGGATGTTCTGCTTGGTGACTAGCTGAAGAAAAACCCAGCCAACAAGTGCTACAGAATACAAAGCAGCGAGGCCCCTTCCTTTCCAGAGTATTTTGCCTGAATAAATGAGTGGGGCTGGCCTGCATCTAGATGCATCCAGCTGAAACCGGACAGGTCAGCTTAAGTGTGGCTAGCACAGAATCAGCAGGAAGAAATAGGAGGAGATGGGTGAGGAGACATGAGAGTAACACTTGATTTTTGGTGTCCAATTACGCATTCATTTGGTACCAACTTTCAAAGCTCTGACTGTGGCCATCAGGCGGCCACAAGCATCTCAGGGGCGTCAGCTGCTGGGAGGCAATGGACACCAAGACGCAGGTTACCAACACTTCAGCCCTTGAGTGGTCTGTTACAAAAGGAGTTGATAAAGACCCAGTGATTATTCAAGTAGCTCTGCACAGTGGCTCCGCCAGCCAGCCCCGTTGTGCTGTGTCCAGGCCCCCAGCTAGCCACCTCTTCTTGGAAGCAGCCAGAGCTGAGTTCAAGGCATTGCATGGTGAAGGTTTC